GTACTTGGTTGAACTAGACACAGAAAAAAATGCTTTAAAAATGTGTTATTGTCTTTTTACATACATTTAGAATTTTATACGATCATATAGTTAGTACAAGTTTAATAATTTATTTAAAGTTAAATGCTTTTGTGCTTTATATAAACGATAAAATATGCCGAGTTTTAAACATATTTTCCTACATAATAAATTTAGGTTTGTTTAAATGCTTAGCCACATTTATTTAATTTCCAACAGTTTTTCTCTGTTTAATTTTTTTTTAAAATAAACTAACTGATCTAGCCTTTTCAACTTATTTTTTTTTTATAATTGAATTGTTTTCAGAACAGAATCGAGTAGAGAGCTAACAAAAGATATCACACACAAGAAAGTTTTTGAGAACTTACATTTTGATTATTAATATAATGTCCTTTACATTAGCTGTGCTTCCTTTAGAAAACATTTTTCTGATCGTGGTTAAATAATGCGCTAAAATTAACCAATGAAGCAATTTATCTGTAATTTATCTGAATAAAAAAAGGACAGTTTTAACTTACTGATAAATATTTCAAATAAGTTAACATTTGGACATTTTAATTTGTCAATTTTTGGTTATCAACAGTGTGGGATATCAGCTGCATAGTATATCAACTGTGTGAGTTTTCCACTGTTAGTTTATTAAAGTTATTGTTTATTAACTGGTTGTTTTATCAACTGACACATTTTTATTGAGGTGAGGCCGATTCCTAGCGCTGTAATATTCACGCAAATATTTCGGCTGTAGGGGACGCCTATAACTCCCTCCTAGCTCACATCTCCTAGGTCATCTAGCTCAGCAAACGTCATCTAAAATTAGAAACATAGTCATCGGACTACCGAAAATGGCAGAAGGTATGGTAGCCATGATATTTGATTGAAACATGTTCATCGGATAACCGATAAATGAATAAGGTGAGGTATCAATGAGAGTGGATTTAAACTTTGTTTTAAACACCCCCCCCCCCACTTGATGCTGTAAAGTCATCTCTCCAAATCTTTTACCCTAACCTCGTTTCCAATAGTACTCTTAAATTGTTTGTATTAAAAAGTATGTTATATTGTCAATTGTTTGGCGTAATAGTCATATCCAGCCCGTAACGTCGGGGTTTTCGGTACATTAAGTCAAAATTGAGTTTAAATTGACTAAATACTGTTTAACTTCTGTGCACAGCATACATTAAACAGTATGATGGGAAGAGTTTTGGACAAAAAAAGGAAATACATTAAATGGTCATTTTAGTATTAATTCACAAAAAGATGTCAAAAACAAAATGTTAAGAAATGAAAACATTGAAATGCATCAAACACAAATCCATTACTCATTTCAGTATTGAATTGTGAACACAGTCTACATTTAAGTTCATTACTAAAAATCATTTCAGTATCGAACTGTCAACATTAAAGTGCATCACTAAAGAACATTTCAGTATTGAACTGTCAACATTTAAGTACATACAAACATAATCTTGTTACAATGTGTCAGTCATTCACATCTCTCGAAGCAGATGGAGAAAAAAACATAATCTTATTACAATCATGGGCGCCCGCAGAAAACTTTCTGGGGGGGGGGCGCAAAAATCGATTACCTTTCTAGGGGGGGGGGGGCTAAAAGTTGTTAGTAATGTTTTAATGTAGTTTTAATTTGACGTAGCGTATTTGTATGGTAAACGAATTGACAGGACATCAGCTTAGTTACTTTCTCTTTATTTTCTCTTTACTTTGATACATGTTTTGTCTATTTTTTTCTAAAATGTTGTTATCCAATCAATCCAGGTAGGGGGCAAGTGCCCCCCTCCCCCCCCCTGCGTGCGCCCATGATTACAATGTGTCAAGTATTAACATCTCAAGAAGCATATGGAGATAAAAACATAATCTTATTACAATGTGTCACTTTTTGACATCTCCCGAAGTACATGGGGATAAAAACACTTGTTATGAAATAGTATGTAGGCCGGCAGTAGTTCAAGCATAAGTATATTAATACACGTACGTTTCTATTATCTATAGAAGATCACAAATAACTGGTGTTCTTACAAAGGGAATAATGTTTCGAATGTTTAATTATTTTAAAACTGTTTTTCTTGATTATTTTGTTATAATTCTTTTTCCTCTTTCATTTCACTTGTACCTAGGTGTGTTTTATTTTGTTTTTTTATTGTTCTTTTTTCCAATTCCTCAGTTGTTGTTTTTTTCTTTTTCATAAAACAACAGAGACCAAAGAACCATTTTAAGAATTAGATTAATAGATTGCTGGCCCTGAAAAAGCTGTTTGATGAGACATCCTTGCCGCTTGAAAGGGGGGAGGGGTAGTTCCTCACACACAGCGCTATTCCCTATCTTGCCCCAGATTGGTCGTCCAAGAGGGAATCACTTGTGTAACACGTGTCGCCAGTGGACAAATGACGTCATATAAACATTTATTCGGATGTGCTTGAGTGTAAATAATGCTAAGGATGCTGATGGAAATGTTAAATTTAATATTGACCTTTTGCAACACTTCCTTTTCTAAAGAAAATATTTTGTTCAAGCGTCCAATATTTTACAAAAACATTTACATTACAACCGACCAAATTGTAACTCACTGATTGTTTAATAATTTGAAAGCAATCAGTATTTGTTTTGTTTTTTGTTTTTGTTGTTGTTTTTTTACTATTAATGACTTTACTTCAATCTCTTATACTACTTATTTAAAGTGTTGCCTGTTTGTAAAATGTTAATTCCATAAAAAATGAAATGTTTCTATATTTTCTAATTTAAATATAATGACGTCATGCGGACACTTTCTTATTTCATGCATCTATGTGTTGTTTACAAAAAAATGTTCTCTCATGGTGACTGTTTTAATCAATTAAATTATATTTTAATCACAGACAAATAATTTTGTTTGGATTTATAAGCAGTTTCTTTATACTAAAATACGCATGGCAACAAAAGGCGCAACTTAAGTGGTGTGCAAATGTCTTCCACCTTTCTTACTCTACTATCAATGTACCCATACAAACATTATCAACTTCAATAAAAAAATAATTAAAAAACAAAGAATCAAATTTCAATAAAAGACTCAAAGCGAAATGATGAGTCAAAAATTAGGTGTTGTTTTTTTTTAAATTCTCGTTTTAAAAGGATTGGTACAATGCTAAAAGGATGCACTCTTCAAAACAGACTAACGAAATTTAAAAGTGACAATCACGATAAACAAAACAATATCTAATCTCACATTAATCTCCACCCCGCTAAAATTCATTCAACCCATAACAAACATTGTTTGTGTCTCAAATATCTACTTAAAAGCTGTAAGCCAGTGTAACAATTTATACCATTGAATAGTCAACAACATTTTAACTCTACATTTTTTGTATTACGAAATGATGTATTATTTGGAACTCTCAAAAATGCCAAGCAGAAATGCTAAAATTGACCAGTGGAAAAAAATAAAAGTGGAGGTGGGTGAGGAGCGTCGCTTCAGGAGGATAGATGTCCCTGAGGCGATTTAACTTTTTAGGGACAAAAAAACAAATATTTGACTAGCAAAGTATTTGTTGTCATATAGGTATGATATATTGTGACATACGCTTCTAGACTCTCAAAACACATACACAATAATATAATCACACAACACTCACATATTTATCCATGAGTGTATTTTATAACTCAGACCTGAAATACACTGACCATTTCAGACTCTTCTATTCCATCTAATATTTATCTAAAATTTTAGAAACCTCTCACAATGTGCACGTATACACATTATCACTAGCACTACGTTTAAAAGTTATCAATTACAATTAGCATATGAACCAAAAATTATTATGATTATTTATAATCATTCACAAATACAAATGTCACATGTTCACATTCGTACCACAACTTTAACTGATTCACACATAAAAGTCTCATATGTACACATTGATAACACTACTTTTACTCATTCACAGATGCAAGTCTCAGATGTACGCATTGGTAGCATGTGATTTTTGCTAACAGACCTTGACCTTCAAAATATGCACAAACTTTTCTAAATTTAAGCCCATACAATATATAAATGACGATTTAAACTAAAAAACTAGGAATAAGTTTAACGTGTTTTATTTTGTGGAATTTTCACATCATAATTCTGTTGTTGTTGTGTTTTATTTGGGCACATAAAAACAATGTTAGGTCAGTGGTATTGTATTGTTCTTGTGTTTCATTTGGAAATTTAAAATAATGTGGAGTCATATGTATTGTAGAGATTTGAGAAAGTGTAACGGAACATAAGTGATCTCGTAACATGATAGGCTACATAACCATTTCAGTCATTGAGCTTAGATTGTCAATTAATGTATAAGGGACGCCTCTAGTCATGCGTTATATCTACAAGTTAAAAAGCGATGAGTTTATTGTTACTGAGGCTTAGGGTTTATAAATTAACATTACGATATAAATAATATTATTTAAAAGAGTTATATTTCATTACCCCCCCCCCCCTTTCTTTAATTTGTTTTTGGAAAATCCAACTTCCGAAATGTACAAATGAGATTACTTTAGTTTTCAACTCAGTTATATTATTTTGTCCTATTTTCATATGTCCTTTAAGTAAGGTGTGAAATGATTTTAGCCAAAATATTATTGTCTTATTTTCCATGTACTTAATGAAAGCTTTCAAATACCTTATACTACATCTTCCTATATCTATTTTTTTCTATTTTAAAAGAAGTTTTTAAAAGAATAAATGTTTCTCACGGGAAACAATCGATTTCTTTACATTCATGTTTTTTCCAATTTCATTAAGTACTTTTTTAAAAACAAATTTAATGTTTATTAGTGAATGATAATTAATTTGCTATGTTTTTAAACAACGCTAGTGCAATAAATCCATTAACTTTAATTAAGCTTTATTTTTTAATCTCTTTTTTTATTCAGATAAAAACTTTAGTTTTATTACTCAAAGTTAAAAAGTAATAAACTATTTTAAAAAATAACATCGCTGACTAGCCTTTGAAGGTTAAGATTTTGTTGTCACGGCGGACGCTATGTTGGGGACATAACTTCAAAATTGTATCCAGATCAAAGTACTTAGCTATTATGCACTGATATTTGACAATAATTCAATGTTTAAATTGATCTTTATGAAACACTAAAGCTATTAAAGTAAGTTTAAATGAAACAACTGATGGATTGTCTTTGTAATTTGTATGATGAATATTGATTACTCAATGAATAATTCATTGAGAGTATGCACATAATTTATTGTTCATAATATTGAATTAATATGAATAAAAAAGTTCTCTATGTAACATTATCACTAACCCTACTGGATGGTGCTGATTTCACTAAATACAATCCTAATATCTGTGCTAAATGAGATTCTTAAAAATACTCCCTCCAAGTGCATTTGTTGGGTAATATTCAACGTAATATTTAATATTTTCTTTTTTTTTTTGGAAATATTCTCAATTTAAGTACTATACTATATATAATATTACGAGTGGCTTAAATGGTGTTATAAATCTATTGTATAAAAATGGGTGGGATATTAGTATTAGAATATCAATATAAATATAGTTTTGGATAGTGACAAAAATATGCAGTTGTGAACCTGGGGGGAGCACTAATTGGAATTCTTATAAATTATGTTACTTGAGTACATTTCTTTTCAAGTAACTTTTTAGATGGGAATTCAACACATTTTCGCTGACATTGTTTGGTGGGCTATAACTATTGGTGTATTAATCTGCATTGCAAAATGGGTGGGACATTAGAATATTAATATAGTTCTGTGGTGGTGTAGCACTAAATGATAAATGGGAAGCTTATAAAGTGCGCTACTTAAATGAATGTTTAGTCGAGTAACTTAGTTTGATGCATTGTGGTCGTCATTTTGGCAGGCTTTAGCTAGTAATGAATAATTAGCAAAACTGTAATGATTCATGCAATGTGGCTAAACTATGCGATTTGAATGATGATTGATACTTTTATTGCTAATAATAATAGTAGTAAAGTTGGATATGGATAGCCTATCTGTTAAATTTCGGTTTTGCTTCAGAATTTCAAAATTTTGATCACAAAAGTTGTATGAATTATTCTGAATCATGATATTGATATTGATTGTCATGCTACTAAGAATCAAGCATAAGCAAATATTTATTAAAAATAACTTATTATTCATAACCTTTTTGTTAATGGCATGCTGCTGAAGTTTAAATAGTAACATGATACTAATAGTAATAGAGTGTAGCTTCAACAGCACCACATAAAATTTTTATTTAAATGAATTGAAAACTGCATTTTATGTTACAGAAATATTTTTTGAAGATGTCACAAGAAAAACTGTCTGAATGGCTACCAAAAAAGGGTCTTCTATATCAAGAGGACATACCAACTGTTGCACTTTGTAAACCAAAACTTCTCCCTCTCAAATCAGTTACTTTAGAGAAGATGGAAAAGATGTTAAAGGATGCCCAAGAACAGATAAAGGAACAAGAAAAACAAGAAAGACTTACCGATGAACTTGGATAAATATTTTGACAACAAAATAAATAAAAATACATTTTAAAAACAAAATGCCATTCTAATAATTTTTTTGTTATTGTGTTTTGGAGGCTATCCATTAATGACATTATGCATCGAGGGGAGGGAAACGGGGTCATGAATTAGTTACAATGTATTATGATGGTGTCTGACTTATGTGATAAATTTGAGATGATGGGGGAGGAGAGTAAAATATCATCCAAAATAGCGTGTTGTCTTTATGGATTGCCCCTTAGCTGTGAGAATACCAGTGTAATGTTTAATTGGGTTTTAGAGCATAAAACGGTATTTATGAAAGATAAACCTAATACTAATATCTAACCATATTTTTTAAAATGTTCTGCTGGCTTCTTTTCATTTTATGGTTCATGTTATCCATAGTATTTCATTGCACTTGCACACAAAATAATGTTGAAATGTTTTACCCTTTTCTTGAAAAAGATGAAGTAAAATATAAAAGCGCTTATGTAATTATGTCTGTGGGTTAGTTGGCAACAAAATTTAATCTTTTTTTTTTTTTTTTGGTTGACAACGGTGGTGTTATCAGAGACCCAATACCTTTTTATTATATTCATTTTTTTATAAGTAATATTGGATTTGTGTTGGTACTTAGCAATTGTCTCATTTCATCATTGGTTTACATGTTATCCATAGTATTTCATTGCACTTGCACACAAAATAATGTTGAAATGTTTTACACTTTTCTTGAAAAAGATGAAGTAAAATATAAAAGCGCTTATGTAATTATGTCTGTGGGTTAGTTGGCAACAAAATTTAATCTTTTTTTTTTTTTTTGGTTGACAACGGTGGTGTTATCAGAGACCCAATACCTTTTTATTATATTCATTATTTTATAAGTAATATTGGATTGGTGTTGGTACTTAGCAATTGTCTCATTTCATCATTGGGTTGCTACTCCTCACACAAAAAATTGAAGTTTCCACTAAATTATGAAGGTAAGAAATTCTGAGTTCTTCCCACACTGTGCATTGTATGGTGCAAAAATTAACTAATTATTTTCTTCTTGGTTTTTACTATCATGCATTTTCAAGGCTGATTTCTTAAGGTAGTTTTCATAGATAGTACTCCATATCTGAGGCTTTCCATGTTTCCTACTTCCCATGAGGCTGTTTCCAGTGTACATCAGATTTAGCTATCTGCTCTAGCAGGCAAATGATTATTCTGCAAAGTGCATTCTGCAAAGCATATTCTTCAAATTTCAGCTCTCATTTCCAGGTTCAGAATCACTCATTTGGCATTTTATTTCTTCTGAAAAGAAAGCTATGCTACTCGCAGAAAATTATAAATTTAAAATTGATTAAAACTGATAGTTTTGTTTGGATCAATTTAAAAAATATTTCTAACATTTTAAAAGTTTCAAGTCAATTATTTTTTGTGAGCCTTTTTGATATGTTGATTACTCCTAAATTTTGTAAAGTAAGAAAGTTCTACATCTTAAGTACACAAATTGTATTAACATTTTTTCCTTTTTCGATATTTTGAATCCATTTATCAGTATTGATGGATGATGCTATTTCATGCAATTAGTTCTAGACCAGTGAATCAATCCTACCACTCCACTATACAGTTTCATGCTATATATAAAATTTTAAATGTCTTTTTATGTTTTGGTCTCCATGAAGTCATGTACTACTTCATTATTCATAAATTTTCCCTGTCACTCTGTCAATGTAGCTTTAAACCATCTTTTACGCAGTTATTTCCCATTTTTAAAAAAAATAAAAATATGGGACGTAATCTTGAGCGCAAATGTATTACTACAAGGTGGCGCTACTGTAAGTGACCTAGTTAACTGACGTCACTTGTAAATAAACCAGGACGAAAATAATATCAACAAACCATCGTGGAACGTACGCAGTTGGTTACTATTCGTTGCTTCTACTCAGATTCAATAAAAAGATCAAACTTTAAATCGTGTTTTAACTCAAGAAATGGCTTCAACACAGAGGCCCGATCGAACTGATGATCTTAATGGTAAGTTTTTTTAAAAAGTTCTTTATTGTTCTTGGACGTATGCTTATTTAAAGAAAATAAATCGATGGATCATCTCCTCAGTCTGCTGTGCTGGCCAGCCATGGCCATATTATTACCGCCACCCAAAATGATTGAAACATTTTAAATTCTACAAAAACATTGCTAACCAGTCTGTGATTTTATGTACTCGGTTTGTAAATCCAACTACTCCAGATGTGCATTTCAGTAGTTATGAGTGTAAGTGTAAGTTAACTGCACAAATCTAAGTCTAAGTTAGTCTAAGGCTTGTTTGTGGATTGTGGCTATTGTCAGATGCACTGTTGTGATTAGTTAGTATATTAGTAGCCTTAGCCTTAGTAGCTGGTAACACCGTGACCGTTACTAAGTAGTATTGCTAAGCATTAGACTCATTAATATTAATATTTAAAAAAAAAATTCATTAAATTAGCTTAGCAAAATCTTAAAACCACTCATAACTTCTTCTGTTTTCAACATTATCATTATATTAGTGGAAATGATGTTTTATGATAAAAGTAAAAGAAGAGTAATGAGTAAATGGCATTTTCAAATGGCTAATACTAATTAATAATGGACATTTTGTTAATTAAAATTAAACTATAACTATAACTGTAAATTTGTAAACATTTTGAAATAAAGCCAGAGGGAGTGACACCTAGAACTGCTTTCTGTTTCTACTACTGAGACCGAGAGACAGATGAGACATAAATGTTTCTTCAGATGAGGCATGATAATATATTTCATCGTTGTCATTGGTATTAAATCTTATAAGTAGACCTAGGTAGTGGCTGCCTTGCCTCTCACTTGCATAGCTAAATTAATGGGCATTGAATGATTCCATCTATATTAGCCAAATTAGTTATTTTAAATTACTCCAATGCACATCGTTCATCCTTTAAAAGAAAGAAGTAGGAAGATCACTATTTAAAATTCCAAAGGAGAATTATTTAAGATTTTGTGTGGACAGTGTGGTCTAAAACATGTTGAGGAGATAATGTAAATTTAACTCCCGAACACCATTGTACAGATTACTTTTTTATTTTAAATGACAACGGCTCAGCAAAAGTTAATTTTTCTAATTAGGGGCCATCTATAAATGACATGCATGATTGTGGACCACCACCTGCATCATGACAAATTTGTGACCGAGGGTTCCAATGCCCCCAGGGGTCGGCAAACTACAGCCTGCAGGTAGGCCTGCGAAGTCAGTTTATCTGGCCTGCGAAGTCATTATTGAATATGAAGTCACAGAAGAAGTGTTTCTTATATCTTTTGAATTTGTGAGATATTGTCATAGGCCATTTGGATTTTGGGACAATCTCCCTGAGCCCAACGAGATCATCTTACCGGATCTAGTCAGAAAAAGTTTTTCCACTCCTTTCTAAGATGCCTGCGTTAATTTATGGATGGCCCCTTTCCAAACAAAGATATTGGACTATGGGCGCTGCGTGATCTGACCACCCTCAACGATGGGCACTGACAGTTTGTAGTATTGGCAAGCATGCTTACTTCCTAAAGGTTTAATTTTGATTTAAATAGATTGTAAAGCTGTTGCATGTGCAGAACTTATGCAAATTGAAATAAATAAATAAATAATGATGTCTGACATATTTTAAAAAATGTACTCTGCTCCTTAGTCTTGGTCAGCATTTCATGTAAATTAAATGCCCAAACCCTATATAAAGCATTTATTTTCCAATGTTAGATCAAAGAGTTTAATTTCTTTTTCTGAAGTGTGCCATCCCAGGTCATCCCCACTCTCCCACCTTTCTCTCTCACCCCCACAGTTCCTCATCTCTCCAAAAGTGACATACTATGCTGCAGTTATAAACAAAACATAGGAGAAAAATTGTGTGCCATAGGTAGGTGGTACATTTCTCTCAATCTCAGCAACCGATGATGGGGTTGAGGCTAAGGTTGATCTATTTATATCTATACATTCGGGTCAAGGCACTTGACACGCTGACATCAGCCGTTGGCCTCCTGACCTGACCCAGTAGGGGGGGGGGGTCGTGGTCATCTTAGGTCTTAGATAATTTACATCAACATGCTTTTAAAAAGAACGGTTTCATTGTCTATAGAGCTATTTTTAGTCATCGCCAAAATAGCAATGGTCGCCACTGGTAGGATCAGCTTGCCAGTCTCAAGACGAATTCATGTAGACTAATGTAGATGTCGTGTAGACATTCTGAGACACGCCCTCAGTGTTCGATACGATTGTCGTTGGAGCTCATTTTGCAAGAGGACTAGACAAGAAGTAACCAGTTATGGCTTTTTCATAAATCACGTTCACACCGCGAAGGATGTGTTGTTTCCTAATACTAATAGAATTGAAGTAGATGATCAATTTTATTGCGCACGGGTTAATGATTTTTTTGTTTAGTTATTTATTTTTTTTTTAAATTTTATTTACCACGCATGTGCCACCAAATATACAGTCCTCGAAACCAACATTTTTACAAAGCAGCGGTATTGGTGGCGATTGAGGTGGGTCAAGGTCACCTAAGCCTGGACCCCCACAAGCTGTAGCGACTTTGAAGATTATTAGATTTGATGGCTTTGCGATTGTTTTAAATCACACACACATATATATACCGTATTTATTGTCGTATAACACGCCCCCACGTATAACACGCACCTCAATATAAGAAGGAAATTTCAGGGGAAAAAACTAAACATTATATCGGCTCCCACCACTCACACATCATTTCAGGGAGAAAAAGTGCGTGTTATACGCCAATAAATACGGTATATCATATATATATATATATATATATAGTAGCTGGGCTGACAAAACTAACTAAAACAGCCCTAATCTCAACAATGCTTATTGGTGCTCTGCTCCGGCATTTCATAATTACAAACTCAGAAAATCCGCAGTGTTGAAGTGTGCACTTGACATCACTACCAATGAGCATGAAAGCCTATGACCTGAGGCATGCACTGATATTATAGAGTCAAGCTATGAACATTTCGTGCCATTCCTTCATTTCACCAAGTCAATTCTTACAATTCTGAAACTTTTGATAAAACAGGCTTACAAACACAATTCCTCTTT